CAGGCTGCCCAGGGAGGTTGTGGATTCTCCTTCTCTGGAGATATTCAGGACCCACCTGGACAAGGTCCTGTGCAGCCTGCTGTAGGTGACCCTGCTTCGACAGGAGGGTTGGACTAGATGACCCACAGAGGTCCCTTCCAACCCCTACTATTCTGTGATTCTGTGGTTTCAGTTTACAAATGTCTTTCAAGTAATGAAACACTTCCTTAAACACACAGACGCGCGCAAATCTGTGCACGGTTCTGACTTCATTCTGTTTTCTGAGCGCTGCTTAAATGGTAAGAGTTTTATAAAACCCATTTAGTTTTTGCTACCGGTGCACTTTCCTTTTAGTAGCAATTAATAACTGAACCTGAGCATTGCTTACTCCCTTAAGAAGGAAGAATATTTTGGCAAATATGGAAATACATACTATGTGGAGGACAGAAAATTACCATTGGACCTGTTGGACACCTTGCAAGTGCTTTGAGAGGAGAAAGTATTAATGTCTAGCTTACACTGACTCTACAAAATCAGGTGAGTTTGTTTATATGTTCAGAGAGTGCTTGAAAGTTCACTCAGCATCTGCACCATGAGGCTTCCTTGTCAAAGCACCCCAGCGTACCTGCCCACCTTCTGACTTCAGGGCGCGATCGCACCGCTGCAGCCTTCCAGGGGAGCTTTGCTCCCTTTTATACACAACTCTTCTGTCACTGAAATTTTCTTTATATATTAAAAATTGTATTACTTGTATTTCTGTTGCTGGTTGCCTTGATTGCGCTTGATGTATTTGCAGTGTCAGGAGGAAGGCAGACGTATGTGGCAGTCCCCTAATAATGTGAGAGAGGAGGAAAGATGGGGGATTACATATTGATGTGTGTAATGGGACTTACTAAGGATTTCACTTACCCTCTAACTTTGGGGTGGGGGGAGCGTTTTGTTCCTTCTAATGCAGAATGTGAGTAAACTCTGTAGTCTGTGGATGGCCATTCATCTGCTTGGTGCTACAACCTCCATAGCATCCTTTTTTCTCAGTGTAGTCCACCTTTTAAAGTTTGCTACTTTAAGACGTGCTGCTGCATAGCTGTGGAAAAAAAGAATAAAAAAATAACTTGTTCAGGCTTGTTTGCATGTATTTGGAATTAAATCGTTTGTTGACTCTGAAAAGGAAGCTGTTAATCTCTATCCTCTAAGATATTCCTCTGCTTAATGGAGAGGGGGATCGGTCCTGGCTGAGGTAAGGCAGGGCAGCGGCGGGGATTGCCCGTGCGGGGCTCGGTTCGCACGGCCACGGCTGCGGGAAAGCGGCTCTCTGCAACACGCGCCTGGCGTGGGTGACTCTCGTTGTGTTCCAGTGGCGTGGTAACAAGTTGAGTGTCGGTAGCGTTCAGTAACCTGCGTTGCAGTGGCATGCAGAAACATCAAAGGAAAAGGGCTGCGCGAAGGGCACGGGGTGAGACGGGTGCAGCTGCCTGTCCCGGCCCTGGGAGAGTGCGAAATCTGTTGGGTGCTGCGCTCCGACGTAGGAAACAAAGACTTCCAGCCAATAATAGATCATTAAAATACTCGGTGATCAAATGGAGTATTACTTAAAATATTCTTAAACTTTTGTACAAATTGTTATTTTACTTTAGTCTATTTTAAACAATTTTATTTTATATTATGCAGCTGCCTGTCCCGGCCCTGGGAGAGTGCGAAATCTGTTGGGTGCTGCGCTCCGACGTAGGAAACAAAGACTTCCAGCCAATAATAGATCATTAAAATACTCGGTGATCAAATGGAGTATTACTTAAAATATTCTTAAACTTTTGTACAAATTGTTATTTTACTTTAGTCTATTTTAAACAATTTTATTTTATATTATTTTATACTATTTTATTTTATTTTAATGTGTGTTCAAGATCTAATTGTCAGAAGGTTGAATTGTACTGACAAGACTGGATGTCTTATGTGCATTTCTTCTCTGCAAACTGTTGCTTTTATCTAGATTTTAGTCTTCAAAAATGCTACAGTTGCTTTCACTGAGCTGTATGTAATTTCTTACCTGGGTATTTTTTTGAGTTGTTTTGTTTTTTCTTGGTGTTTTTTGTTTTTTAATCCTTTTAGACTAATAAGCAAGTTAAACAGAAGTCCTGACCTTCCTTTTTGTTTAATAACACCCTCTCCAGACTTGCTCTGCAGCCACTGTTGCAGCTCACAGTGCTGCCTCTGTGTTGTGTCTTTTGTCCTCAGCAACGCTGTCAAACAGTGACAGAGGAAACTCAAACATCTCAGATTTTTTTTCTGACCCTTGCAGGAGTTGAAATGTTCCACACATGATCGTGTATTTGGCTAGAAAATATGCCCGGGCATCAGTAGGCATTTATGGCGTCTCTTCTGTCTCAGATCAGTCCTCTTCGCTTCCTCAGTCCAGAGATGTATTTGAGCAGCGAGCTATTTCATGTAACTTACAGTATCTACTCTGGCTATTTCTAGGAAAACTCTGTCTAGTGTCTTAGTACGGAAAGAACTTTGATTGTGCAAAGATTCAGGTTGATTAGTAATGGGCTAACGTCACCGTGCGAGTTTGAAAAAATTAGCTGAAATGGAAGGAAGGGGGTCTCAATACGATGGAAAATCTGTTTGAGGTTATCTCAGGACTCAAGAAGGACTTCTGATGTAATAACCATGCATCTTAAATTCAGTGGTTGTCTAGGTCTGTGCTACATGAACTTATTTTTCTGTCTTTTTTTTTTTTCTTCTCCTAGTGTCCCAATGTAATATCAGCTTGAAGAAGCAGAGGAGTCGAAGTATCTTTAGCACCTTATTCTGCTGCTTTCGTGACTACAATGTCGAACCACCATCTACCAATAGCACCAGTGCTCTTCCTCCTTTGGTGGAGGAGAATGGAGGACTTCAGAAGGTCAGGCTTTTCTCTTATTTTGCTGTCATATATGTCTTTTGTAACCAAGGTTTAACTCTGTGCTTCTTAAGTTTGTCTTAACATGTTCCCCACAAGGGAAACCTATTACAAGTTGTCGAAAAAAATACTATTTTGATGGTGAATTGCAAATATTATCTGTTCAGATGCAATTTAAAATGAAGTTGTCCATGAAGGGTATAGGCACTATACAGTTTTTATAAGTAAACAACATTTAAAACCTGAGTAAGACTGAAAAAATGTGGACTTCTCATAATACTTCAGATACTGAGTTGTTTCTAGCTTTGGTTCTCTTTCCCAGCTACAGGAAGATTAAAATGTGTCCACTGGAGCGTAGCAGAACCTCTTTGAAAGGGTTTTCGGCGACATAAAAACAGTTCAAAAAGGGGGAGAGCCATAATTGGTTGGGCTTTTTTTTTCTGACCAGTTCACCTATATTTAATGCACACTGAGTCCAGAGGTATCTGCTTTTGGCCATTCTTCCAGGTTATTAAGTTTTGTTTACCTAATAAGTCAAATTAATCATACAAACTTTTAGCACTTCAAAGCATCGTATATAGGAGCAGCATGATACTTTCATTGAGTTCTAGTAATTATATTGCTTTGCCATATTCATAAAATCACAGCACAAGTAATTTTATGTGTTCTTTTACATCTGATACCACTGAAAGGATCTGCATTATGTTATTGAAGAATTCCAGTTCAGTATAGCAAGCACAGGGATGCCATCTTGCCCATACCGTGTTGCTTTTCAGCACTCTCAGAACTCCACTAGTGCTATACTCTTAATTGAAACACCATTCCCCTGCCATTTTTCCAGGACTTTAAAGGACTGTGAGTATAGGTGTATCCGTGATGGAGAATAATAGCTGAAAGTAAGACTTCTCTATCTTTTCACCTTTCTGCTCTTCACACTAATTTTTCAGATTTGATGGAGCTGATTTCTTACCTTGTCCACTCCATTTTATTTTGGTTTTCATTTAGCTCATTATGTTTAAACTCTGAAAAGCTCAGGAGAAAGAGCAGAGGAACTGTTTGATGGGAGAGGGGAAAGGAAAGCAAATCAAAGTGGTGGAGACTGAGAATACGTGTGGAGGTAAAGGCTGAACTGCAGCAGTTCATGCTGAAACTGCTCACGCAGAGGTAACGCGTGCTGAAGATTCCTCTGCCAAGAGGAGGGATTCTATGTGTATTTTTAGAATTCTTTTACTAGCCAAGGTACATTTTGACTGAAATGAGGGAAGCCTAGCCTGGATCTGCTGAAGGGAAAGCTGAGTATTGTGTAGCATGTATGCGCACGTCCACCTGAAAAGCAAAAGGAATGGGAAACCAGTAAAGCTTCCCTTTTCACTGTGCTGGGGAATGCAAAGGAGGCAGAGGTGAGGCTACCAGCAAAATTACAAATGAGAGAAAATGAGAGTTTAGTAGAAAGAGAAATGTTAAAGAAAAATGTGGGTTTTTTCTATAGAAGAAGTGAGTTAAAATGGTCTGAAAACAGAAATTTTCAGATTGCCTTTTGTGAAATACTTAATTACTTCCTATATACATCTTATGCCTTGAGCGACGGATTGCATATATCTTCACACCAGTTTCCATCCTCGCTCGATGCTGCCTGAATCAGAGTTTGGAAGTTGTGCAATACTTGCACACAAGCCTGAGACACAGATTGCAGAATTCGTGAAATTACCGAATTACAGCCTCATAGAGTAAAAAAGTTCAAGGAACCATGTTAAAAAGAATTATTCAAGAGTGGATTTTCTTCAAACAGAATGAAATGCACTCAGATGTGGACTGAGCTTTGTAGAAGAAATCAAGTATGGCTAAGCTTTTAGGTAGTTCTTAAGTGTGTGCAAACAAGCCTGTGACATTTCTATTTTAAATGCAGTATTGAAGACTAATAAGCTTTGTATGTGTTTTTATATGCTATTTTTATTTTGAGTGCTAACATGTTGGTGCAAGTAAGAAATTCTTTTAAAGAAAGAAAAACAGCATTGAAGACTTGGATATATTTGAATATCATTACGCGGCCAGGCTAGTGCTTTTCACCAGGAGAGCTGCGTTGTAGAATTGTGTGGGCTGGTTGGGTTTGACCGAGTTTCACTGAGCGTCTCGTCTAGATTCAGACACGATAAGCTGGGGGAAAGTACATGCAACAATGTGTCTCAGTTGCTAAATTGGTGGAATTAAATGTCCAGGAATGACAAAATCACCTGTGTTAGGAAAGAAGAGAAAGCCAGATCACACACTGCTTAGATGCCTCTGCTGTTTCATTGAAGCTCTTGTTGCATTAATCTGCCTGCCAGATTAAGAATAGTTTAAATTCTGTTGAGCTGCTGTTCAAATGGTCACTTAACTTATATCTGCCTTCACCCTTGTGTGTTGTACTAATTATTTATCACATCACAGGTGACCTTTGACCATAGCCCAGTCAGTTCGTGTGCTGTGACCCTTTCCTTCAAAAATGGAAAAAGGAAATTGCCCAATAATGTTAAATAGTTACTATTAGAAACTAATATAAAATAGCTTGGATGTACTTTCCTTCTGTCTCTGCTGTTCAGTAGAGTTGTTAAATGAAAACTGGTGGTAAAGACTTCAGAGGAAGGAAAGAAATGGAGAGAGCTTCTGCTGGTGTCACAGGGATGCAGTGTGTGTTCTGTGGTGCTTCTGGCGTATTCTCAAAGTTGATGTGACAGGCTAACTTCCTTCTAATTAGGAGTCTTGATTCTTTCAGTGCTAACCTGTTGTAGAGGAGGGAAAGCAGGGAAGAGTATTTTATGAAGTGATTGAAAACACAGTTCTGAAATTTTGTTCAGAGTAACTGCTTTGTGCATTTTAATTTTTTTACGGTTATTATTTTGCTGTATTGGAAAAATTTAAATCAGTGCTTTCAGTGAAATCAGTGCTTTACGTACTGTTTTACCAAATGATGTGACTGGAGTATGCTTGGCAAGTCAAGTGTCACGTTGCGTCTTCATAGGGTTGGAAGAAACACCAAACTGAGCATGGTTTTGAATAAACAGGGTTTTTCAGCACTGACTTCTATTCCGTTAGGGTAAAAAGCCCAAAAACTTCTTTAAAGTATTGAGTTCACTTTTAAACCTTCTACTGACAGAGCAGCTGCGTGTCCAAGTGTGACTCTAATACTGATAATTAATTGATATCCATTCTGTCTCTAAAGTTTCAATACAACATTTTTCAGTAATAACTTGTATTTACTGAAACTATTGTATATTTGTTTTTCTTAGAATGTGACTTTTAGTCCAGCTTTTTAGTGCAGCACAAAGATGTATTTGAAGCCGTAATATCTGTTACAGTGGGTATATCAGCCTGTCTGCAGCTTGGATGCCGAGCCAGATGTGTCATTGGGAGCACACAATGTTCAGCCTCATGAAATCCTTGCTAATTTTTTCCTGCCTCCTCAGCAGCAGGCAGCTCACCAAGACCTTCCAGCCAGGTTTTTTTTTTTTTTTGGGGCCAGACTGTTGGGAGAGGGAAGTGTGTTTTGTTTTCTTCTGCATAAATTCCAATCTCAGTTTCTGTCCTTCAGTTAGCAACTTGACTCTGGGCGTGTTTTCTGGACATGCTTCTGGGTGTTAGTTGGTGGGGGTTTTTTCCCCCGGGTGAGTTTGTTACCTGAGTTTTGAAGTGTTTACAGATACAAATTTCATCTGCAGGCTTCAAGGAGGGGTCTAGATAGAGACAGGTGAGAAAAGCTAGATGCAAACTGGCTCTCTCTTTGCTTCACCTTCAGTCGTGGTGGGTGAGGGAGCTCTGACAAGTCTATCGGCGCTTTGCCATTTCCCTTGCAGCCCACTTCAACTGGAGTCATCTCTGCCTGTGCTTCACGGTTAGGTACAAGTTGGGCAGATGGCTCATGTTCAACAAGATCGAGCATGAATGAGGAAAAGCTTTTTTATGCTTGTTGGATTAGAGGAGAAGGTCTTGATCCATAGTCAGCAGGGAAGAGGACAGAATTAGAAGAAGGTTTATTCTGGGGGCAGCAGCTGCCCCCGCTGCTTTCCCTGCAACAGGAATGAAGCCAGAAGGGTCAAGTCCTTGGATTTCCACCTCACCCATCCTAACCACGACAAAAGGTAAGTCTCCTTCGCCCCACTGCTTTTTTCTGCACGGCGCTGTCGTCTCCAAGGTGATACTGGAAAGGTCTTTCAATGACCTGTTGTCATGTCTCCACCACTCTCGTCTGCTTCGGGGATCCCTATTTGTAATACACTTGAAAGTGCAGGAGAAGGAATCTTCTCTATCCCATGAGAATATGGTTCACCAGAGGGAGAAAAGCAGCTTGTAGGGACCACTTTCTTGAGGCCTGAAGTGATACTTCCTTCGTGCAAGAGTCCTAGAGGAGCCACATGAGCATGGACTCTTTGATGGGGAGACTCCTAACAGCATGCGTTCCGAACAGATGTGGAAACTGGTCTGGCTGCCTGGTGTGGAGGAATGTAAGTGATAGTACTCTTCCTCCAGCTTAACCTTTGCTGATGAGAGCAAGAAGATCCCTAGTGTTTGGTTCTGTTGGTCACCATCAGCATGCAGTATGGCAGGTCTATATAGAAAACAAAATTCCTCTCTGCATAGCTGTGTTTGGTTCCTCTGTCTCTGCCTACTCATTCTGACCTTCTTTGCCTCTCCAAAAAGTCTTCTATATTAAGAGACGAAGCTCCATAGTCTGAGTCAATGAAAGAGTCAAATCGTTACTATATTACTGTTTTTAAAGAACCTATCACGATCTAATATGAGCTTGGTGTTAAAGAAACAAATATGATTAATCTGTTCTTTTGATCAGCTTCTCCAGAGGGTTTGTTCTTCAGAATGAAACAGCTCATCTTTGAACACAGACTGTTTTCAAAGAAGCAAAATAGTGTGGTCTGTCACTTGGTGCTTATTGATCCTATATGCAGCTATAGGCAGACAGCATTAACAAACGGACACGGTACTGAAAATGTTGTGTGTCTCGAACTAAAATTATGTAGCTGAGGGAAAAGGTGAGATTTATTGTTTCATTTGTATATATCATGCCATGAAAAAAAGCTTATTTCAGTAGCTGGACAAATCAATTCCTGGGTTATCTTAGTGATACAACGGGGAGATTTTGGCATTTTGGGAACAGCTTTGTCCTGTTACCAGCACGAGGAGCTCGTGGAAAGACTTCAGCAAACACAAGTCATCTGTCATCTATTTCAAACGATAGCGCTATGACCTACTTCCCTTCCTGTTCCAAGGCATCAGGAAATGAGGCAGGACACTTTTGAAAAGTTTCCCATAGCAGGCTTGTTTATAAAAAGCATTTGCCCGTTCATGAACGCTTAACGCTTTACCAACAGACTCTTGGCATTTTTCTCTCTGCTTGGTTTTCCAGCTGTCATCATTACCATTTTGGTTTTTGCATAGGTACTTTTAGGGTTCCTCTTAGGAAATTTGCTTGTTTTCCTTGGTTTTTTTTGATGTAAGACATTCTGCAAAAAAAACAAAGCAAACCGTAATGCAAGTCTTTTAGCAACTTAGGTTCTGGATTCCCGTGAAAGTCAGGCTTAACAGTAATACTGTGGGGTGCAGCTCTTGCTTTAAGAGATTGCCAAAAGAGAAAGCAAGGTACGCCGTAGTGACTGCCTCTTGAAGTCTGTGGGAAAACCTGGTGTGATACTCAACTATATTTGTGTCCAGGATTAAGATAATCTCGTACCATAACTGTGGATATGCCTCTGCCTCTCATACGCTGTTTTCGTCTGTTGACAGAAGAGGAGCTCCAGTTGTATTTCATTCTCTACCAGTGAAAGCAAAAAAAAATGCCCTTCAGAGCAAAACAAAACACGGGTTCAGAATCTGTGCTCTGCCTGCATAACCGTATCCTTGATAACAGTTTGGTCACCGGCCAGCTGAGCCAACTGGCACCTACTCAAATTCACTCCTTGCTGAAACGGCCATGAACTTCAGGTGGTGTTCCACTAACAGGACATTAACATGCTGAATTATATTTTTTTTCTTTTCTTTTTGCCATTATCTTGAGGGAAATTTGGATTCTTACCAGTTTGTGTGTGGGGGTTTTTTCCAAGTTAGTGTGGGGGGTTTGTTTTTTTTTTTTTTTTTTTTTTTTTTTTAGCAATCAGGTGGTACTTACTAAAGCAAACTTCTTGATAGTTGGTGGTAGTTGCTGCTCTCGCTGCTTTGTCAGCCTCTCTGAATTGTAGTCAAACTTTAGTGGAAATTTCTGGTATTGTAGCAATTAAAAAAAAAAGGAAGCTGACCTTTCTAGCACAGATGTTGCTTAGGTAGATTATTTTATTCTTTAATTACTTGGACAACACAAGGCTCTGACTACCAGTAGATTGACTATCTATTGAAAGAGCTGTTTTCAGCATCAGAACATCCTCTTCAAGCAGAAGCAGTCTTGTGCTCACTTGTTTTGGAGTCTAACCTAGTGTTGACATATCACTGACAAACAAAAGTAATTCAGTATTATTTTTAAAGTCCTCTTTTATGTACTGTGCCCACTAGAAAACACATACTTGGTTTTGACAGGTTAAAAAGGTTAGAAAATACAGTTTCTGCTTCCCAAAATGCCTTACTTGTTAAGTTGGCGACCCTGTGACCAACCTTCCCCATTTGGAAGCTGTAAATGGGAGTGTCTTTGTCTCCATGTGTCGCGTCCCAGGATGAGCAGAAAAGGTGAAGCTGGCCAAAGACTGCCTTGGCTTCTCCCAGGTACAACACAAAAGTGAGACCATGGGAAGAGCACTGATACCTGGGTGAAGATACGGTTGCTTGGATTGGTTTTGTTATCACCATGTCTTCCTGAGGCGGTTTGCTGTTGCCAAAGTGAAAATGCTGGTTTTTCTGAGGCAGTTGTCTCAAGTGAAGTTAACTTTAAGGAGTGGGCTTCTGCCCTGCTGCCAAAGTCTGGCTGAACCTTCTGTTGCTGCAATGAAAAAAGATGAATATACCCATTAGTAGATCTTAATGCTGAAAAAAGTTACAGTAAATACAGGTACTTTCTTATTATCATCTCTTATTAATCATAGCATGGGTTTTACCAGTCCAGTCTCCTAAAATCATAAATGCCGATATACTAACAGATCATTTCAGCGACTAAAATGCAAGATCCTGTTTTCATTTTTTTTTTTTAGCCTGGTTTCTTGAATACTTTGAACTTTTGGTTTAAAACGTTTTGAGTGCTACATTTACTGCTTCAGACCTTTGTTCTACCCTTTAAAAGCCATTACCCTTACAGTGATTTTTTTTTTTTCTTTTTCCCCAGGGTGACCAGATGCAGGTCATGCCTATACCAAGTGTATGTATTTTTTATCCCTTTTTCTTTTAATAATTTTCATAACTTTTGCTTTGATTCATCTTATGTTGCAGTCTAACAGGTCTGGTTTGTGTTGCATGTTAACAAAAGGATTTTATGTTCTGTCTGCAATGTTGTATGCTCAGAGATGAATTGAACTGCATGTGTTCTACAGGGACAAAAAGAAGAGTTTGGGTTTTATATGGTTTTCATCTTGCATCTCTGTTAAACTCGTTTCTGAATTTTTATCATTTTGAAAATGTGTGAAGTAGTCTGAAAGTTGAAGTTACTTATTTTAGTAGAGACAAAAGGTGACTCATCGTCACTATGTGGGACACAGTTACAAAATCCTTTTCCTCTGATTTTTCCCTATATTCTGATTCAAAAAGAAGAATTAGAAACTGCGTAATTTGTTTGAAACAAGCTTCTTGAGGAAAGAGTACACTGACCATAGCTGCGTTACTGCGCTCAGTCGAGATGATGCTCTCAGTATCAGCTGCGGGTTTATGGGCCTTAATGTTTCTGCTTATCTTCGCTGGATTAAACTTGGAATGCCATTTGGCATCTGAATTATTTTTCAAAACTAAACAAAAGGAAGAAGGGAAAAAAAAAAGTTCTTCAAACTGAAGCTTTTAATTTAATTAGGTTTAACCTTTTTTGGTCAAAAAGCTGCTCTTTTTCTGTGGACGAAGACTTTTTAAGTCTGGAAATACACTTGGAGGTTTTTTTTAAGCTCCTTTGCTGTTTATAGTACTTTATTACTGCGGAGTTTTCCAGGAAAGAGCAGTGCTGATGTGTGGCGTTGCTGACACAGCCCTCTTTCTTGAGACATTTGGTAGCCCCTGAAGGCCTGAGCCTTTTTTTTCCTCTTTCCCTTCCTTCTCGTGTAGCCCAGGGTTCCAAGACCTCCTATAAGAACCCTGTCCGTGCTGCGGTGCAGTAGTGTTAGGTGATGGCTGTAACTGTGCAGATCACTTCCCTCCTTCACCACTGTTTCTTCGATTTAAGAACTGTTAGAAAGTATTCTTTATTGCTTACCTGTTACTTGTAATATGAGCCTGCTTCTAATGTGGCTCATGCATGTTTGCGTGCATGTGTGTATTATGTATGTATACACACATGTGCATGCATGTAATTCGTATATATGCAAGTCTGGGAACAGAAAACTTTAGATGTATGAAAATACTGATTTCTGAATTGCTTTTCTTTTGACATACCTACCAGATTCTGTTTGGTGACTGTAGTTGCTCTACTAGTGGTTATTTAAACATAAAACGTGTTCTGGCTGTGCTCTGACCTGGAATAAAATTTTGCCAAAGAGTGAGCGTAGGTCTTAATGAAATAAGAATTCAAACAGAACAAGATTTTGAAATGACAACTGGGTACAGCTTTGTCAGATGCACACATGGAGAGAGATACTTCGCTTGAACACTGTCTTTCTGATGTTAAAGCAGTGCTCTGTTAGATTTGGGTAGTGGTAGGGAAATGAATGACTCAAGACAGGGTTTTTCTTTTTTTGTAGCTCAGCTATAATTTTGCTGACCTATATTCCCAGCACTTTAATAAGGCAATAAAATTAACTTTGCAGTCATGATGTAGAGTTCCCAGTGAGCAGGTGGCTTTAAACACACTTGTTCCTCTTCCCTGGTGCCACCTGATGCCTTCTTCCAGCCGGACCTGCGAGTGTTGTCAAGCATCCATCGTGACATTCCCTGTCGAGTATCAGAGTGCTCTGGGCTGTCAGACAGAAGCCAGTGAGCGTTATGGGCTAAATAAAGACAGAAGTGAGCTGCGTATGGAGAAGGTGGTAGGAACGAAGATGCAAAGCCAACGTTATATTTGAAAAACGCTTACAGTTAAAGCGATGCTTTTTACCTGTCTTAAAAGGACTGTTTGTCCCGAGGAATGAAGCCCGGAGGTTCACCCTGCGACAGCTTTTCACCAGGTCTTTGAGGCTCATTAAGGCAGAAGTTCTTGATGGTCTGCTGCAGGGTGTCGTGGGTGAGGAATAGGCTGTTTGTACTGCGTGTATGGTACATACCAGGAGAGGAATCTTCTGAAGAGACGCTGAGTGAGCTTGCTCACAACCAAGTTGGACATTTACTTTTTATAGGGCCCATTGTGAATGTAATCACTTCAAGGGCTTAGAGAATTCCTTAGTAACTCTGAAAAGAGCACTGCTTGCTCCCTACACATTAAACTTTGCATTGAAGCCTCCAGTCAAAACACGAGGTTTTCTGGAGCTTTGTCATGCCTGTGTAAAATCTGGCAGTCTGCTGAGGTCACCTGTTTGAAAACTTCCATTGCTTCATGTACACGTGTGCAATATCGGTGAAATGTATCTTCTGCTGGGTCAGATTTTTCCTGTATTAATTGCGCTTAATTTAAAAATTGAATTAATGTGAACTTTCACTTGGTTATTGATAGAAAGAGCTGCTAAGCAAGAATCGTTCCACCTTCAAGTTAGACTCTTCAGAAAACGGAAACAGTGCCACTTCGGGTTTTTTTTATAGACAGGCTTTATCCTTTTTGTATCTCGTATTCTGAGACTGTTTCCAGATAAGGCGTAGATTAAACAGCAGTGTAATTGATTTTTTCCTAATACTGCAAAATGATTTATTTTTAGGGCCAAAATAAACACACGCAAAACTTGAAAAAACTATACCAGGTGACAGCTGAGCAGAATGGTAATCTGAGGAGTTTTGTGATAGACCTGACTTAAGAATCCTGTGCTTCCCTGGATTTTCGTTAGCTTTGTTTGGAAGGGAATAAGACAGAGAAATCAAAGTAGACCCGTGGCAACCTCAGTGCCTGTTTCCATTCTTTTGCCTGAGAAGGCAGGTGGAGATACAAAGCCATACTCATGCACCTGCTTGAATGAGTTGGGGTGTTCAGTTTCAAATCCCGGTATTAAGGTGTGATACCACAAGCAGTCCTCAGAATCCCAGCAGAAGTTAAATCTTAGCACTGGGGTGTTGTTCTTTCACTTGTACTCGCTCCATTTAGACAATTTCTTGTTACAGTTTTTTTCCAGAAGAAATTTTGTGAACTGCCTGTTTCAGAACAGGAGCTCATGTCTTTTGGCAGCTGTGTTTTAAGTGGGAATAATTTATCTTCTATTAGAGTGTGTCTATGCATAAGCGCTGGGAGAAGCTGTTAGCTATGCAGAGGGCAACCAGAAGTGTGAACTGAAGGGAACATGAACAGCAGATGAATGTGCGGCACTTAGGCTAGGCAACATTTCCAGTATGCAAAGGGCTTATTAATTCTGATACTTGTCTCTGTGGGAAATATGGGCCTACAGGGAAGAAAGGTTGTGAATGTTTTATGCAGTAAATTTCTGAAAGGTTTGTGTTGACCAGCTGTTTATGCTTCAATCAAAGGTCCTGTTTTCTTGCCTCCAGCCCCTTTTTTTTTTTTTAGGGAATATACTATTTCCACGGGACTGAAGCAGTGCAGCAGTCGTTTCACTACAAGGTCTGTTAAGCTGATCAGCCGTGAGACCTGGCTGGAATGCATAAATCCCAAACAGTGACTAGTTTGAAAGCTTTAACTTGTATACAATTTATGTCTTGTTGGAATTGAAGACCAAGCTAGGACTCGCAGTATGGAGATACCACGTGTTATTTTTCTGCTGAGTTCTGTGGAAGTCTGCAGTCTTTCGCAGAGTATTACATAGTAAATATGAGTTGCTGTTAGCCACAATTAAATACTCTTAATCATCTTAGGTATCTTTAAAATCACTATGTTTAAAAAAAGAAATTATCAAAGATCCATAAGTATTCACTATTAATTATGCTGGAAATCTGATAATTGCAGCTCTTCTTGGATATGTCTCCATTAGTGAGGAAATTAAAATACAATATTGAGTAATGCTTGTTTCTGCCTAAAAGCTTTGCTACTCCTGTCATGTGGAAATTGCTTTTGATCAGAAAACTTGAACAGCGAAACAAATGGACTGATACCCTATGTACAAATCCCTTAAGTTCCTAATGCCTCAAAAATGTCATCCTTGCTCCAAAGTCCTACACCAGATGTTTAGCAGTCTCGCAGCTTGTAGTGCCTTCACCTTCAGAATAATTCCCTTTTCCCTGTTAGATTATCAGGTGGCAGATCTGTTTTCAAAGTTGGGGGTAACAGAGATACAGGTTTTGGAATGGAAAATTTATTTTTTCTGACTTTAAAATGTGCAGACCATTGACAAGTTATCTTTGAAAACAGGATCAGATTGATTTCAAGAAGCCAAAGCCCGTAGGAAGGTTGGTGTGCCCAACCGTGGGAGACTCTCTCCAGGAAAAACCATGAGGTGTAGTCTTGTTAGGTAAAGTTAGGTCAGTAATTACATGTTATCCCCTAAGGCAGTACTGAAAAGGGAGAGAAACTCTAGCAGTAACCAGCATCTCAGCGTAGATGCCACAGGCCAGCTTTTGAGAAGGCAGAGCTGCAGGTGGGTGAGGAGTAGGGGAACAGGCTGTCTCTCAGCGTGCAGGCAAGGAGCTCCGGTTCTCAGAGTTGAAGGTTATCATGTTTTGTCGTCCTTGGTGTATGTCTGCCCTTTTCCTGATGACAGACATACTGGTTTCCAGACAAAAACCAAGGATAGCTTCATATGACAGTGCTCATGTTTTTCATATGTGTATTTTTATATGAAATAAGATCTATTGCCACGTATTTTCCATATATAGAGATATTTACAGTTTGAAAAAGAACTCACATAGCAGAAGAAACTGCTGGCTTTGAACTGCTTGTGCAGATTAACTTGGTCAAAAATTCAAACTAAATACTAACAGTCTTAAGAGTACAAAAATGAACTGAACTATTATTATTAAAAAACTACACTTAAGGTTTCTTGGGATGTTCTGACCTTTTTCTCTTCTTTAAAGGCGAGAAATCAGTATCAGAACATGGGTTCTGAAGATTATTATCTTTAAATGGGTTTGATTTTTCTTCCCAGTAAGCTTTTAGGCTATTTAGGTTGCAAGTCTGGATCCTTCTTACTATCAAAAATGGAGGTGGGGTGCCTAAATACCTTTTAGATTTTGAAAGAGGAGGGGAAGACCTAAATTCCTTAGATCTGGTCCTAGTTGCAGACAAGCAGAAGCAGAGCTCAAGCAGTTGTGGAAGTAACGTATACATGGGACTCTCGATAACCTGGAAAGGGTGTCCTGTGAGTTTCAGCCTGGTTAGGTTACTGTGATGGGCACAAACATTACAGGCATTAAGCAGCAGGTGTTTTTTCTTGAAGGTCGTTGTTAGATGTGTCCTGAGGAAAAAAAAATGCACTGAGACAAGTGGCTTGTAAGGAGGGCAGCTTCCATTTCAATAGCTGAAGAAACTGGTGTTAATGTTAATTGTAAGGAACTGAATCAGTGTCAGTGAGCGCTCCTACAAATCCCCCAAGAACTTGTACTTTAGCTAAAGACGCTTTTATTCAAGTCCAGAATCTCCTTTGTCAGTTACTTCGTTTAAGCAAGAACTTGCTAGGCATCATTGGCCGGTATCGACTGACTTAAA